TGGGTATGAGGCAGGGTGTCTGAAGTGCCTGAGGATCGAGAAAACTCTGCTCCTGCTCTCTCATCTCCAGCTGCTCTGAGGCCAGCTGCCTTCTCAGGTCACCCTGGGCTGGCCTCAGCTTCCTCCCTCACTAGCCACCTGTCCTCCCTGACTGCTGCCTGACACTCACCACCCCCGACACCTGTCCTTCATTCTGGCCATGTGCCATGTTAGCAGCCTGCTTCCTTGGCCAATTTCTTAGCAAAAATAGCTGCTGTGGAAGGTTCTACACCTTCTCCTTTCTGAGGGTTCCCCCTCCTGGCTTTCTCAAAACAAATGGAATTATTTTAAGTTGTATGCTTCCTCAAGTTAATAATTCTTCTTCTTTTTTTTTTTTGTCTTAAGATATTGTGAGAGCTTGGCTTAATTGACCAGGTAATCATAATTATCTTTAAAGAAATGCTTTTGTCATTATTATTTGCCCACCATAGAAGCATTGTACGTAGATGATTTTTAAGGATCAGCCTAATTCTGATATTTTATAATTCTGTGAGCTAAGATTGGAAATTTAAGTTATTTTTAAAATCAGTATATCCCATCTCACCTTAAGAGGAATGTAAGGCAAAAGTAACATTACATACTTGCATCCATTCAACATTTTATCAACAGACTGAGTGTTGCCACATGTCTGGCAGAATTCCTGGACTAGGGATGGAGCAGTGAGCATGATTGCAGTTCCCATGGAGTTTATGATCTGGCAGAACTAACGATGATAAGATCCAAGGTTCTTCAAAGCTCACTTGACCTCTTGGGGCTAAATATTTTTTATAAATTCTCTGAGAAATTACTTTCCCAATTTAGCGTATCTTTTAAGACATGAATGTCAACTTAAACATTGACAAAGAGTACCAGGTCCTTCATAATTGCTGCTAGCTGGCCTGTAAGAATTGAAATGTATATTCCTTTTTTTTTTTTTTTTTTTTTTTTTGATTTTTTTTTTTATGGGGCTTGTGCGCCCATCTTTTTGCTATAGGGCATGTGCGCTCACCAGAAAAACACAGAGAGACAGAAAGACAGAAAGTGAGAAATCACCCCCCAGGGGGGATGGCCACACTGCAATCCCTTCTCCTCCATTCTCCTCTTGGAATCTTGGGGACACACGCATACGCGCCCAGCATGAGTTTAAGCCACCGGGTCCAGAACTTGAACTACAGTTGACTACATGGGAGTCCAGTGACATAGCCATTATGCTAACTGCTGGTCCTGAAATATATATTCCTATAAGACCTTCTACTGCCCTCCTGGATAGCTGTAAATAAAGATAACCCCAATTTGATAGTGTGTATCTTATTAATACATTTATTTCAGCTAGATACATTTAAAAAATAATTATTTTTAGAAAGGTATAAAACACTATATGATAATTCTGTGTTGCATATGATAAATTTTGATCTGATTTTTTATGGATAAGAAAAAAAGGAATGTTCTTTGCAATTTAAAATGTTGCTAACAGACTTCAGGCATTCATATATCCAGACAGTTTAACATACATATATATATATATATATATATGTGTGTGTGTGTGTGTGTATAATTTATTTATTTTTTGGAGAGGTTTTTGCTATAGGGCACGTGCGCTTGCCAGAAAGACAGAGAGAGAGTGTGCATGCGTGCCCAAGATCCCAAGAGGAGAATGGAGGAGAAGGGATTGCGGTGTGACCATCCCCCCTGGGGGGTGATTTCTCGCTTTCTATCTCTCTGTCTCTCTCTGTCTGTCTGGCGAGCGCACGTGCTCTATAGCGAAAATCTCTCCAAAAAAAGAAAAGAAAAAAAAAAAATCACCCCCCAGGGGGGATGGCCACACTGCAATCCCTTCTCCTCTATTCTCCTCTTGGGATCTTGGGCATGCACACACACGTGCCCAGCGTGAATTTAAGCCACCGGGTCCGGAACTTGAACCATGGTTGACTATATGGGAGTCCAGCGACATAGCCAATACGATAACTGCTGGTCCCTTTAACATATATTTATTGAGCTTACACCTTGGTGCCAGGCACCACTAGGTTTTGCGATCCAAAAAATGAGTAAGACATAGGTCATATCACCAAGGAGCACCCAGATTAGTCTGGAAGACTGATAATTGAATGATAATTATAGGATCAGATAAGAGGGTCCCCTAACTCAACCTTATGCATTAGAGAAGTCTTCCTTGGAAATATTTTGAGCAGTGTCCTGGAAGGTGTGGCTGATATGAGAAAACTGCTTATGATTCAGTATGGTGAAGTAAAGTGGTGAGAGGTTTAGGCTTTAGGAGTAAGTGGGGGATCAGATATGAATAGCTTTCCAGCAGTTCTAAGGTATATAAATTTAAGTAGAGAAGATGGACGTTTCTAAACATGAGGTTAGCATGACAGAGTTTATTGTCCTTTGGAATGACATTTGTGGCTACAGTGTGGAGAACAGAAAAATGGTGATTGCTTAGGGGCTCCTCTCAGCAGCCTGGATGAGAGAAGATGGTGGTCAAGGCAGAGGATGGACAAGACATGAGCAGGATCAGGCAACTTTAGAAGAGGTTTAATCAGTGCATCACTGTGAAAGCAATGCCTGAATTTTGGAAAATGGTTATAGATACTGGAGACAGTGTGGGAAGAGGGTGGGAGAAGGGGGAGAGTGTGAGGAAAAGAAACTAAGGAGAAAAATGAGAGGAAAGACATTTATGGGATACAGAAATGGATTATTATCTGTTGGTCATAACGTGTTTTGTGTCCTCAACTGGACTGATGTGAAGTGTATTCATGTTGGGTAAATTCACTTTATAAGCTATGTGATATATAGTGATCGAATGTATAAAATAAATTGGGAAAAAAAAAAAAGAAACCATGTCTGAATATTGCAACCAGTGCTGGACTCTTTTCCTGCAGGTAACTTGGGCACTAAAACCTGGTCTGTGTCACTAGTGATGTTTAACATAAAGATGAATTTGGCGATTCCCAGGGCTGAAAAACCCTCTTGGCCTGACACAGACTTCACCAGCTTAATCATGCTTTCATGTCTGTGCCAGTTGCAGAAATCTGATGGTATTGTTCTGAAACTGGCCAAAAATGTGAGACCTGATTAGGGAACATCAAAGTGTGTTGGACCCTCTATAATCTGCCATCGGTGATTTTGCCTTTTCTCTTACTAATCTTGAGAGACAGCTTGGAAAAATAGGAAATGCACTGGATTCAAAATCAGAAAGCTCAAATGAACATCAGTTGTGTAGATTACTTGTCCTGTGGTCTTCAGCAAATCACTGAAATTTGTGGCCTTGGTGTGTCCCCATCTGTCCCAAGAAGCAACAGGGAGAGAGGATGTAAGAGAGGATATATGTGACAGCAAGGTTGTTTTCAAGGTCCCTAGTCATGATTCCAGGAGCTCAGCACTCAGATTCAGGAGCTAAGAGTTTCCAGGAACTCTCTATGGAGTCACATCTCTTCCTTTAGATAATGTACCTGGTCCCAGAGAAGGTAGTCATGAGGCCATTGGGAGAAGCGATGGAGAAGCTCTTGTTTCCTTCTTAGAGTTGAAAGAACATGTATTTAAGGAGATATAGCCTGGTTCTGATTCTTTGACCGGAGGGAAATAGACATTCCAGGGGTTGGCAGCTTGTATAACAGAGGCTAAGGCTGAGCCTGTGTGACCCTCTCATTTTTGTCCTGAAGGTTTCTTTCTTTAACCAGAAGTCAGTGTTTGAATACTACATGGTTCAGAAATCTGGCATCATTTCATTCCCAGAAAGGAAAAGTTTTTGATTTACTTTTATTAATTGGTTCAAAGTTGAAGTAGAGACATACTTATAAGGGCATAAAGGCAGAAGAGACATATTTTGATCAAATTTTTAATTGCTTGCATATGTGTCTGAGTAGTACTAGATAGCTCTATAGTTCTTTAGTATGCTTTAGTTTTACATTTTTAAAAGTTTATTTATTTCATAACATAAAGAGACAGAGACAATAAGAGAGACAGGCAACCCCAATAGAGTCATCATGTTTTTACCACCCCTGAGTCTCAGTTGGCCTGGTTCATGGGAGTATCTAGCTTCAGGGAGGTCCTGGGATATGAACTAGGACCTTTCCTATGTGGGAACACCTTACCCAGATCTTTGACATACTCTGGGTATATTATTAAACAGTATTACTAATTAATTACATTTCTTAGGAGTTTGAATGTTGGAAAAATACCTTCAGTTTTATAATGTTCCAAAAGCTTGAAATGTAATGCATGAAGTAAGTAGGGTTCACCAAGTGTATTGCAAATGGAGTCAGGATGGTTTAGTCTGGCTGCCTTACCTCTTACCATGTTTGAAGGCCACAGGGTAAACAACTTATGTGATTAGCTGTACTGCACTTGCACATTTGTTATATGAATTCACTGTTTTACACCATTGCATGTAACACACATGTGCATGTGTGACAGTTTGGTTTTGGCAATGAACCACTATTTTCTGAAGTCCCTTTAAGATAAAGGAGCACCTGGTCAGCTACTGCTGCATTGTTTAGCTAGTTAGTCCTGGCCTTGTTTCAGCTGGTTCAGTGGCGATGGTCTTGGCTTGGCTTAGCCTTGGGTCAGTTCAGCTCAGTTCCTCACACTGTGAGCTCCAAGAGGGAGGAAAATGCTTTGTGGATGTTCTTCTTGCATGTTACAAGTTCCAAGAGGGAGGAAGTGCTTGTGAGTGCTGCATTGGGCTCTGAGAGCCTAATAAGTGCTCTGTCAGCTCCCACTAAACTCGGCCAATAAGCAACACTATATCAGTGTCTCATTTCTTTTTCCAACTCCTTATGTCTCTGACATACTTTTCAGAGGAGAAAAGAACCTCGCAAAACATCAAGTTATCATATCTTTACTATTTACATCTTTTATAGAGGAATTAATGTGTTGTTTATTTGATGAGTTTGTATTTTATTATAGTTTGCTTAATTTTTAAATTTAACTTAAAACTTATTTGAATTTATGTTTTTTTCTTTTCAATTTATGAACCTAAGGAAGAAGAGGGAGAGAAAGCAACGGAAGAGGTATGACACCATCTCTAATAGTTGTGTGCAGTCAGATTAATAAGAACATATTGTAGGTGAGAGGACTGCAGCTGAATGACATTCCCCTTGTCTGTCAGGAAACAAGGGAGTTAATGCAGTCTACACACCCAGAAACTCCCTCCAACTACCTGGAAAGGGGTTGGCGATAAATTTGTCCAAGAGAGGTGAATGAAGAAACAGAGCTTATGTGTGGACCCTTTTCTGAACCTCATTTGGAGAAGGTGTCCTCAGTGGTTTCCCAAAGAAGTCAGGCCAGTCTGTGCCAGGACATTAGGTGGAGATTCCCTCTTCATTCATCCTTTTCCACCCCACTGAACAGTATGCCATTGATGCCCATGGTGTTTATTGGTGGTGTTTTTGTTTTGTAAATTTTTATTGCCAGAAGGCATGTGTACTTTCCAGAGAGTAATAGAAAGTCAGAGAGAGAGAAAGAAAGAGAAGGAGAGGGAGAAAGCACATTGCAACGGGAGAATTTTGGGCATCTTGAATTATCTTAGGCATCACTGAATTCAAATGTGTAACCCATCATCAAGTGTCTGGAGGATAAATGACATTAGTAAACCACCTGGTTCAAGGATTTCCAGTGGAGATCATGGTTGATTTGGGAGGAATTTTTTTTTTTAAATAATTATTTTGTTTTAACTTTATTTATTATTATTATCATTATTATTTTCCAGTTTGATCAGAGAGAGACAGAGAGACAGAGAGAGGAAGTGAGAAAGCAAGCCACCAGGTCTGAGATTTGAACCGTGGTCGGCCATGTGGGAGTCCAGCGCCTTTAACCACCATGCCACTTGCTGGCCCCAATTATTTATTGTATTTTATTTATTTATTTATTTATTTTTAAAAATTTGACCATAGAGAGACAGAGGGTGAAAGTGAGAGAGAGAAAGTGAGAAAGCAAACCAACAGATTCAGGACTTGAACCCTGGTCATGTGGGAGTGAATGTCCAGCGCCTTAACCACCACACCACCTGCTGGTCCTGATTTGGGAGGAATTTTTAACCTGCCTCCTCAACTCAAAGTTCTATTAAGTCTACATAGAAAGAAAGATTTCTTATGTTTCATTGATTCTTATGATGTTTATTTAAATTACATCATTATAGTAAGAGGAAAAAAACCATTAATATAAGTATAGAAGCAAATATAATTCACCCTGGAAAGTGAGGACCTAGGTGGGTGGTGATGCCAAGCCTACTATTTCTTTCTTTTTTTTTTCTTATTTTTTTTTAAGAGAGATTTTTGCTGTACCGCATATGTGCTCGCCAGAGAGACAGAGATACCGAAAGTGAGAAATCATGCCCCAGGGAGGATGGTCATGCCACAATCCCTTCTCCTCCATTCTCCTCTCAGGATTTTGGGCATGCATGCACACACGCCTGGAGTGAGTTTTAAGCCACCACTCTGGGACTCAGACAGTGGTCGACTACGTGGGAGTCCAGTGGTGTAACCATTGCATCATCTGCTGGTCCCTGAACCTACCACATTCTGCTTATGTGTCAGAGAAAGAATATAGATTACAACAGAGGTTCTCATATCACGTGTCCCAGGCCTATAGCAGCGGTCACTACTTGGGTCATTTAGAAATCCAAATTGCCAGCTCTCCTCATATCTGCTGGGTCAGAACTCTGAGGTGGAAGATTTCTATGTCTGAATAGGCTCTTTCAGTGGTTCTGATGTTTGAACAAGTCTGAGAAGCATTGGATTAGAATGTGGGTCCCTGGGAACCTGATGTGTTGCCAACTTGAGATCAATTACAGGAACTCCCTCAGTTTTGATGCCAGTAATAAAAAGTTCATCTAAGTTCAAAGACAATATATCTTATTTTATATTAGAAGATTGTTCTTGATTAAAAGAACCCTCCAAATAAGAACATCTTTATTTTTTCTTGGTGGTTGAAATGAGTAATGGGGAGGAAGAGAAGAACGCCTCCAAGAGAGAAAAGGCACTTTTCAGTTTTGATTAAGAATCTTTTTCTTTCTCAATCTGTTCTGCTTTGTTGCTACATTCTAATTCTACTGGTTTTATTTTGAAACTTCTGAGAATAACTTTTTTTTTTTTTAAGAGAAATTTTGTTTTGCTTTCAAATGGGCCTGGGGGAGGCCTTCATGGAAGTAGCGTTATGATAATTTGTGTGCAAGGCCAACCTGCTATTTTTGTACTGCTGATCAGTGTGGGAGAACTGCAACTTGTTCAAAGGAAACAGTGTGGAGATCCTTCCTCGATGCTTGCTGTCTGCCTACCACATATGAACTAGGATTTAGGGATTTTAAGATTTAAACTCAACACAGACATCACCATGCCAATGATTAGATGAATCAGTTCAGAGAATATTAGTGAACTCTAAGGGCAAGTCAAAAGTGACATTCTGACTCCCTACTCTTGCAACTTTCCCCTGTGTTAGCTGAACCTCACTTTTTTTCATTATAATAGAGAGTTTTAAGAATATTGTTTTTAAACATTTTTTGCATTAATCACTTTAAAATGCTAGTTAGAGAACTAAATGAAAACTGAGATCACAAGGGTAAAGACAGTAATTTAACAGAAATCATATATATTTTGTAGGTGTTTCTGTGCAGAGACTCCCAAAAGTCAAACGGAATTTCCTCCCGTGCCCCCCCCCCGCCCCCGGACCAGCAGATGGTGTAGTGGTTATGATGCTGGACTCCCATATGGATGACTGTGGTTTGAGTCCTAGATCCAGTGGCTTGAAAGTCATGCCAGGCGAATGTAATTGCAGGCCCAGATCCTGGGAGGAGAATGGAAGAGAAGGGATTATGGCATGGCCATTCCCCACCTCCCCTGCCCTGCCTGGGGGATGATTTCTCACTTTCAGTCTATCTCTCCGGTGAGCACATGTGCCCTATAGTAAATAAAACAAAAAAACAAAAAAAACTCTCTTTTAAAAAAAAAAAAGGAATCTCCCCCAAGGAAACTATATTGATTTTTTTTTTTTTAATTACCAGAGGGCCCTTGAGCTTGCCAGAAAGAAAGAGAAAGCAATCTCCAATGATGCATGGTCATGCTCCAATCTTTTCTCCTCCATTTCCCATCCTATCGGGATTTTGGATTTGGATGCACACGTGCCCAGCCTGTCTTTAGAGCTTCCGGGGCTGGGATGTGAACCACGGTCAGCCATGTGAGATCTGGTTCCTTTACCTGGGCTGAGCCTTGTGCTGATTTTTTAAAATTACAAAATGATTTATGATCTTTATAGAAAATTTGGAAAGTATTGGTGAAAATAAAAGTAGCTTATAACTCCATTACCCAGAAATAATCCCTAGGTACACACACACACACACACACACACACACACACACAAACACATGGTTGATGAATATTCTTTTGTAATCTTCTGTATCTTTTTTTGTGGAGGAGAGTAAATATAGATCAGCTTTATAATTTTTAATGTGCATATATCGAACTAATTCTTCTTAGATGTAGAGATTATTTCTAGCCTATTCTACATTATGATTTTTCATCATTTATAAATTAGGCATGGGGACGTAAAAAAGTTCACGGAAAGTAGAATTAAAGTCCAAGTTTATTTTCTTGCAAAAACTTTTGAAATTCCAGGCCAGCCCATGGCTTGGTGGTTACCTGAGCTGGACACCACATTGTTGAATATGTAGTTCAGGCTTCAGACCTGATAGTTAAAAATGTGCCTGGTGCATGTGTGTATGCCCAAAATCCTGAAAGGAGGAAGAAATGAGGGAGAAGAGATTACAGTGAATAATTCTCATGGGGGTGCTTTCTCACTTTCCCTCCTCTGGTGAGTGCATGTACCCTCTGGCAAATTAAAATAAAACTTTGAAATCCATGCAAAGTTTTTTTTGAAGGGTTTTTTTTTTTTTTTTTTCCCTATAGGGTGAGTGCACTCGCCAGAAAGACAGGGAGAGACAGAGAGACAGAAAGTGAGAAATCACCCCTGACGGAGGATGGCCATGCTGCAATCCCTTCTCCTCCATTCTCCTCTCAGGATCTTGGGTGCGGAGGCACACCTGCCTGGCGTGAGTTTAAGCCGCCGGGTCTGGGACTCGAACCGCGTTCGACTACATGGGAGTCCAGCGATATAGCCATTACACTAACTGCTGATTCCATGCAAAGTTTTTTCCCAGTACACATTTCCATGAATTTTACGAAGACTGCCATCTCCTTGCAATAATTATTTCCTTTGTTTCTCTCTCACTAAAAAAGCTCCTGGTTTTGAAAATTCTATTTATATTCATAATAAGACAAAAACATACTATTAATTTGGACTAATTCTGGATTATATGTATAGGTTACCAATGACATTGGCTTGAAAAAATTAGTTTGTTATAACAAAATATAAGCAACTGACATTTAAAAGTTCATCTTTTCTGACAAAATTCTGATTACTAAAATTTGTTTTGTATGAGACATCAGAAAACTCGTGATGCCTTTTTGCATAGAAAAACATAGAAAAATACTTCATGACTTTTTCAATGACCCAAAATTTTATTTTTCTAGTATATACCTTCTGCATTTTTACAGGTAATATGATAAGAATAGTTAATATGAAGGCAGACTATATGCTTGAGAGAAATCATGAAACTCATTAGAATTAATGTAACATTTTGTGGCATCATTCCAGTTAAGGACACTATGTTCAGAAGAATGATGTCATGTGTGCTTTCATGTGTGACATATGTGTGTGGTGTATGATGTGTGTGTGATGTTTGTGGTGTGTATGTATATGGTGTGGTATGTGGTATGTATAATTTGTGTTTGTGTGTATGAATGTGTTTGCATGTGGTATATTTGTGTGTGCATGTGTGATGTATGTGTGCACATGTGTGTTGGGCAGAGGGTATTGGAGGCTCTTAACTCTAGTCTAAGATTTCATATTCTTTTTCTCACTGTATCTTTGACACTGCTGCTTCTCAATAATCATACAATTTTTGTTAAAATGAGACGGAAGAAATAACAGAGGAGGGAGCAGAAGGGGAGGCAGAAGCAGAGGAAGCTGAAGAAGAAGAGGATCCAGGAGAAGAAGGGGAAGATTCTTAGGCCGTTCCGTGCTGAATTCCTTCCACTCTTCCAGGTAGCCACAGAATTCTGGGCTTGAAATGTGTTTATTACAAATGTGCTGTCTGTGTCTGCTTTCTCTAAGTAATCAGTGATAGTGCATTCCAGAGCAGAGCTCGGCATCATCCTGAGTCTGGTCTGTACCCCTGACAGGTCTGTACCCCTGACAGGTGGGTCATTCCCTTTCTTGAGCTACAGGGCTCAAGACCTTTAGCAGATCCATTTCTTGGGCACTAGGGCACAGAAGGCTACAATTGCTAGGACTTCGAGGAAAAGGGTGCCTGGGAGGCAAGGAAGAACTGTTTTGTACTTAATTTCTCCTCTTCTCTATAACCTTTATTTAAGAGACGACATAGAAAGTGTCCTCCTATCAGCGTTCTCTTAGTTAGACTCTTGTACAAACTGATGCCATAGGGAATGACAATTTCTGTTTATAATGATGGCAATAAATTACAAGCTTAAGATATCACAAAACTGGCTATTCGTTCATGAAAGAAACTGAATGCTGCCAGAGATTTAGTCATTAGTGCTTGATCTTACATTACAATTTATTAAATATTAACCAGAATCTCATGTAGAAGGACTATGGAGTATGATGAATCAGGTAGTTTTGACAAGTAAGGTTTTTGTGCCTTGGTTTTAAACTTCTATTGGTGATGAAAAATAATTACATGATTTTTAACAATTTGCTAAGTGCCATGTAAATGTACTAATAAGATGATAGTGTCTAATGATGATGGCTGTTGTGGATATGGGTGAATGCTTAAATATTGTGAGCCACACAGAATATATGAAAACACCTGAAGATCATAACATGCTAAAAAATACCTGGTTTTATCAGACGTTTGGCAAACACCTTCGTACATGTTAATATTAGGTTGTGGGAGAAGTCATGATATGTTTTTCTATTTTAATTATGCAAAAATGTGTCATGACTTTCCCAATGACCCAGTATTATCATCGATATCAGTGACCTTTTAACTGAAATAGACAAGGCAGTTTATTCTGTAGGGCAATGATGTTTACACTTTTGCTCCTATGTTATAAATATTTTTAAAAATTTAAATGAAAATGAAAAAAATTTCTTTCAAGTCCATATTATGCCTCCACTGAAAATTGTGAGACAGATTTTTGGGCTGTTGCTATCAGGTCCGCTGAGAAAGAAGGAGATAATGAGGGAGTAAGCACTCAAGCACATGATAGGTCTTCTATAAAGATCTGTGATTACACTTGGCCCCTATCTAGAGAAGCATGGACAGAAGATTCATTTAAAGAAGGAAGAAGAAATCCCTGGTGTTTTGCAAATTTTGGCTAACAAAAGCAAAGCTCTGTGTACCAAAGACAATTTGACTAATATGGTGCTTTCTTAGTATACTTAAAAGTAAAAAGCTAAAACACTAAACCTATTTTCAGGGCATCTTGGAGTTGGCTAGAGTAACCATTGCAGTTTATTATTGAACCATAGGACTTTTATCATTCATCTGCTTAAATCACAAAGTAAATCTAGCTTGCGACCTCATGTCTTCCCAGGTGATTTCTTTCATGCCCTGGGCACACATACTTCTACACTAGGGCCTACTGGTTGTCATTTTGGAAATGATTCCATTTCTAAGGAATGAGTTGGGACCTATTTTTGGAAAACAAACAAACAAACAAACAAACAAACTGGCAAGTTTACTTTAAGAAATTCTACCTGCAGACTGACAGGAAGTGAAAAGATGCTGGTATTTATCCTTACCCCAAAAGCAAAACACAACAAAACCTATAGTAAAAATCTTAAGGTACTGTTTAAATCTGCTACTATTCACTCTGCTTGTAAAGTTCTTTTAAAATTAAGCCATTTAAAATAAATAAATAAAATTAAGCCATTTTTAATGTAGTAATTATAAAAAACTAAATGTGAAATGCTACAGCTGAACGAATATTCTTAATGTAGGCAGATGGTTTTATAGGCCAATTAAAAAAAAGAAGTACAACTGTGGCTTGCACATTTTGCCTGCTTCTTCTATGGGCTCCAATCTGGAATCCAGTCTGTAGTAGTCTGCTGTGAGGTTAAAATGTCTGGTAGTGAAAGAGTAAACCAGGCAGCGCCGTAAATCCCACCCTTGAGCCCTGGACAGATTCAATAACCTTCTTTAAAATGTGACATGGCAGTGCAATCAGGCATTCTGCAAACCATTTTGCTTTCTAAGACAAACCCATCTCGTAGTTCATGGTAGTAAGTGTGTGCATTTTATTTGAAACATGCTTTTAGGGGACAACACGGCAATGAATGGAACTATGAAAGAATTCTCATTCCCATTTTTGGAATTGAAACCAGAATCTAAATTGATGCTTAAGTCTTATAAGAAATAAAACACTATGAGACTCGGAATTCTACCTCCCAAAAGGTTGCCACTTGTTACTGCCCTCTAGTTTAGCCATGGACAATATATTTTCCTCTCCAAAAGTCAGGTCTAAATTCAGCCTCCGTTTTTCATGAAAATACAGTAGGAAAATGATAATGAAAACTATTGACTTCCTTATGGTGTTTGATATGTGCTAGTTCAGAGGAACCGGGCTTGGTTTTCCATGGGAAAATTTTATTTTGTTTTCTTTGCACTGAGGAACAAAATGACAAGTAGTGGTTTATAGAGTAGAAGGCCATGCTTTTCTTTATCGTATGTTAAATAGTGAAGATTGTGGTAAACATTCTGTCTCTCTTTAACACTTTTCTCTCTAATATTTTCATTTTCTTTTAGAAAACCCAAGCAATGAAGCAACATTTCAAATATCTCCCCATGAAACAAACTCAAAGAAATACTTTGGCCTAAAGTTGTAAATCTAGTACAACTCTCTGAGTACAACCGGGGTTCACAGAGGACTTGACTATCTGATGCGTTAGATGTACATGGATATGTCAATGTAATCATATCAATACAAAAATTAAATATGAAGATAATCTATACATATCTTCCCATGACATTCTTGGCCTTGCTTAATTTTTATTTTTATTTTACTCTGCATGAATAGAGCTCTCTGTGCTAAAAGATGACTTCAAGGTGGAGAACTGCTCTGTGATACAAAAAAAAAAAAAAATTCTTTCATCTGTGCCTTATGATACTTGTCTCAGAATTAGCTTTGGAAACAAGTGCTTTCCAGAGAACAATCATATAAATAAAGATTAATAGCAAGTATCTTGTCTCATGGAACATTATTTCTTTATTTATAGTTTCATCTTGGATATGTCTGAACTCAATCTGTCTGCTGCCAAGTCTGTCCTCAGCAGCGCTTTTCTGTTTGCATTGGGATGGATTTTTTTGTTGCACTGATTATTTGGTTCATGTTTTCAAATTGCACAGATTGTCTTGTTACGTCATTTTTTTTTTTTTGTATTTGCACACACAGCTGTGTACATTATATTTGAAGCCTTATCCAACTGTAACTCCATGATCCACTTGTATAGGGGATGGTGAGGACAAAGAAATGAGCAACCCAGTGCCCTTTCCATGTTTCTGAGCTGAAGGGAGTGGCTGCTTCTGTCTCTCCTGCTGTTGATTGATTTGCAACCATGGCTGCTGCGTGCGGAGCGCGGTGTTGTAATTTTGCCTCCTGATGGCCAGGAGCGTGTGCTCACAACAGCTGGTCCAGCCCCATGACTTGTACAACAGGTAGGTTTGACAGCTTTGTTTTGCTCACGTTTCTTACCTCAGTTTACCATATACATTTTTTCTTTCTTTGAAGATTTCATTGATATCCTGTGTCTGCGCTATTCCTTGTATTTTTTTTTTTTTTTTGCAGCAAACATTGCTTCTGTGTTGTCAGAAAATTTCGTTTCCTCGCTGTGCTGTTTTCCACTTTCATGATAATTAAGGCACTTCAACTTGGAGTGGCCATAAACTTTTCCCCTCCTGAGTCTGGTATTGATTTTATAGCAGAGTCTGTGTCATTCGGGAATGTATTCTGCTGTTGCAGGAGTCATGTGGATCTCATCAACTCTGGCAAAAAGCTCTTTTCTTGTTTCCTTAGTAACAAAAAGCGGAATTTTGAGAAGAATTAAGGTTATTTTTTTCCCACATTGTTGAAGTAGTCTACTTTGAAACCATTTTTTCTTTTCCCAAGAAGAAGGCAAAAGAATACAATGAAATGGAAATTTACATAATTAAAAATTAATCTGTTTTTATTTATTATTAAATAATGTTCTATCTATAAAGCTTGCATGACTTTTATAATAAGTCCATGCACAAATAGACCATAAACTTGTTGCTTCGGGCTCACTTTTAGCTCTTGTGGTAGCTGCTAGATGGAGATATATTTAGCTAGGTTCCAATTTCTCTCCTATTCAAATTTTTAAATGAAAACAAGTATTTGTGTTAATAATAAGCAAAATAACAAACCAGATTACTTATTTAAGTTGAATTAATATTTTCTTTTCTTTTTTTGTAGAGGTTTTTGCTATAGAGTGTGTGTGCTCACCAGAAAGACAGAGAGAGACAGAGAGACAGAAAGTGAGAAATCCCCCTCTGGGGGGATGGCCATACTACAATCTCTTCTCCTCCAATCTCCTCTCAGGATCTTGGGCACACATGCACACATGCTCGGCATGAGTTTAAGCCACCGGGTCTGGGACTTGAGCTGTGGTAGACTACATTAGAGTCCAGGACATAGCCATTACACCAACTGCTGGTCCCAAATTAATATTTTCTTACATTGTTTTACATAGTTTTCCTGTAGTCAAAAAAATAACATTCTAGATTTTCTTTTTTGTAAGAGTTTTATTATAGGATCTGTGTGCTTTCAGAGAGAGACAGAGAGAGAGAAAGTGAGAAATCACCCCCAGGGGAATGGCAACACAGTAATCCCTTCTCTAATCTCCTCTTGGGATTTTGGATATGCATGCACACTTGCACGTTTTTCAAGCTCCTGAGTTTGGCACTTGAACCATACAGCTGGCCATGTGGAATCCAGCACCTTAACCTGTATTTTTTATGTATTCACATTTCACTTTCTTAAAAGTATTATTGAAATACAAAAATCACGTCAATCACTAATAGCAAATAAATATTACTCTTTTTCAGTTCCACTTTCATCTTTCATGTCAATGGTTAGTAGACCCAGTGACCCAAATATGGAGCATATGATACTAAAATATAGTTAAAAATTCACACATTTTCTTAACATTGGGAGCTTCTGGAAAATAAGCAACATGATGATTATGTAAAAAAAGAATAACACAAATGAATACATTAAGCTAACCAACAGAACCATTTGGAAATATAAAGACCAGCAAAATGGACTAATTTAATGATCTAAAAGCTAATGAAGGTTCAGAGACTGGTTTATTAAGCCTAAAAGGAGGCCTAAACATTCCAAACAACCTTTTTTTTTTTTTTAAAGTGAAAAAGGAATTACACAGAAAATTCAAGTGTGTTTTTTTCTAGTCATTGAACAATAAATGCTCTTTTATCTAGTCTTTATTTTCTCCTGTTTTGTTTGTTTGTTTGTTTTGTTTGGTTTTGTTTGGATTAAAATCCTCCTTTGGTACAAGGACCCAGGATGTTCATTAAGGATGGTTTATGGTTTTTCATATAGCTCTTAATTTTAGTGATTAAATGAGAAAAGCACAGGAGGAGAATGGAATGTAATGATTTCAAAATTTCTTGAAGAATATTTACCAGCATTTTCTTAAAAAACCTGCTTAATTGTTAAACCTGTGTAGATGTGGTGAGTAGCCCCAGTGAAGTGCAGTAATAGAGAAGGACCATTAGGTGGTGATAAAAGACAAGCTTCATGTTACAGTGTCACTGCCCTCAGAGGCTCCCTGGCCAGGAGTCCAAGTTGGGTACTGAAAGTTGAAATCAAGCTTTTGAGTTGATTGGCCCCTTTCTTCTGCCTTTGTTCCATGTGAGTGTTGGTGTCTTCATGATTTAGTCCATAGAAGCTCACTGCTAATTTTGAACCATCTATGGTGGTATCTAAAACATTGTGTGGTCATAATAATCAAGAGCTTTAGATATTTTTTATTCCCTTAGCCAAACGATGTGGAGCTTTATTAAAGATGCTTTACATAAATAGTCATGGCATTTCAGGCAGGAAATGGGCAGATAATCACTTATCAGTATACAACAACTTTCAAACTCCTTTCTTCAATGGACAACCCAAATCTGAAAACTACTATAAAACCAAATGACATCTTCATTTGATGCTCTGAACAGGGCAAGTTTAGAGTGAGTGTTGTCATTTCACATTTAGCATGTTGTTTAACAACTTTTCACAAACTAACCCTGACTTTCAGGGAACAAAAATGGCAGAATTATCAACCTGAAGATCCAATGATATAGAAAAGGAACTACTTATTTTTTGAAGGATGCCATCTTAATGTCTTTGTCAAGTCCAGATTGCCTGACATACTGGTAACCAATTTTTTGTGGCTGGATCCCAACAGGTCTCTGATTTAAGGGAGTTAAGTCTATGCTGAAGGCAGAGGAGGAGAGAACATAAAAACAATTTTAAGTTTTCCACAGTACAAGGCACCTGTGACAAGGCAGCTATGTGTGTCAACATCAGGGAATCCCTCCTTGTGAGAACCAAGAGGAAGTCTCTCAAAACTGGAAGGGAAAATGTACAAATCAGTCTAGTTTCAGAGACATTCTATTAGTGACAAATGTCCCTTCCCCCCAAAACAACAATGACGTGTTCTGCATGCTAAAAAAGCTTAAAAAAATAGCTTAAAAAAAGTAAAACAAAATTCTGCATTTTTATAAAACTTGATAAAAAATAGTATTTCAAAATGTACAGCCATCAGAAGTACAGATTTTAAAATCCAGAGGGGCTTGTTTGTAACACGGGTACAGAGGAGAGGAAGAACAACTCTCAAGTGTGAGGCAGGAGGTGTTTTGTGTGTAGCTTCAGATACTTGTGAGTAGGACTTGTATTTGTCCAGTAACTTTCAGAATAAAGGACATTCTAAAATTAAAAAAAAAAAAGGAAATCAAAAGATGGGCATAAGTTCAACCACAGGAAAAACAGACACAAAAACACACCAATTGGTGAATTAATTAGTGTATCGTTTATAATACTTTTATTCAAGGCAATTTATTTTGAGCAAAATTTGATGCATTTTTTAAAGATAAGAATTATTTATTTAATTTTATTTATTATTGTTATTATTAGTATTTTCCAATTTGCTGTAGGGCATGTACACTCACTAGAGAGAGACAGAGAGAGAGAGAGGGAAAGTGAGAAAGCAAGCCTCCAAGTCTAGTACTGGAACCACAGTAGGCCGTGTGGGAGTCCAGTGCCTTAACCACCATGTCACTTGTTGGCCCTGATACATTCTTTATGTTTTTGGGAGAGGTTTTTGCTATAGTGTGTGTGCGCTTGCCAGACAGACAGAGAGAGACAGAGAGAAAGAAAGTGAGAGATCATCCCCCCAAGGGGGATGGCCACACTGCAATCCCTTCTCCTCCATTCTCCTCTTGGGATTGGGCATGCACGCATACACACCTGGCGTGAGTTTTTTTTTTTTTTTTTTTTTGCCAGAGGCATGTGTGCGCTCGCCAGACAGAGAGAGAGAGAGAGACAGAAAGCGAGAAATCACCCACCAGAGGGGATGGTCATGCCGCAATCCCTTCTCTTCCATTCTCCTCTCGGGATCTTGGGCATGCATGCACACGCACCCGGTGTGAGTTTTAAGCCACCGGGTCCGGGACATGAACTGCGGTAGACTACATGGGAGTCCAGTGACATAGCCATTACGCTAACTGCTGGTCCTGGCCCTGATGCATTCTTAAAAGCCATTAAAAACAGTCATCAGGGACCAGCAGTTAGAATAATGGCTGAGTTGCTGGACTCCCATACAGTTGACCATGGTTCGAGCCCTGGACCCGACAGCTTAAATTCACTCCGGGTGCATGTGCATGCGTGCCCAAGATACCGAGAGGAGAAAGGAGGAGAAGGAATTGTGGGGTGGCCATTCCCCCCTGGGGGGTGATTTCTCGCTTTCTGTCTCTCTGTCTCTCTCTGTCTTTCTGGAGAGTGCATGCTCCCTATAGCAAAAACCTCTCCAAATAAAGAAAAAAAAA